GCATGTGGGATCTTCCCGGACCGGGGCACGAACCCGTGTCCCCTGCATCGGCAGGCGGACTCTCAACCACTGTGCCACCAGGGAAGCCCTTGGTTGTTTTAATTGGGCATCACCACTACCCCCTTCTGAGGTTTTCTCTGCAGCTCACAGGAGAAACTAGAAACTACATTTCCCAAAATTCCCTGTGTGCACAGTTCTCAGTTAGAGAGGGCCAGAGAAAGACACTGCATATGATGTGGAAATCCAGAGAGGAGGGGCAGAGCAAGGCGTGGGTAGTCCTAACCTTTGAAGAACTTCTTGAGAATCACCGCCGCCTTGGTGCCGCAGACCGAGAAAGTCAGGAGGAGATTCCCAAGTATTCCTGAGATGCACAGAAACTTCAGCAAGCTCTTGAGAATCACCAGTCACAGAGGTGAGACTCTGGGTGACACCTTCCCTGTCAGTCCTTTCCTGTATGTGTAAGCCTCTCATTCCTTACATTAAAGCCCTTCATAATTTGAATAGTGTGCATTCAATTTTCCCTGTCTGAATTCAGATTGATACCATAGCATTTTTCCCTTTGGTTTTTCAAACTATCTCTGCTCCTGAACGTATAGATTTGTAATTTTTAAAAAAGGGTGGAGGGAGGGGAGTAACAGGCAATTCTTTTGACAGAAGTTGGCAAGGACGCTGTACTTTACCACAGCCTTAGCACAGGCTTTCGAAATGCACCCCAGGCAGCAGATTGCTTTATGTGTCCTGTGCAAAGGACAAATGTCTGGGGTGGCCTGGGAATCTAGGACACAGAGCTTGGATGTTTTTTCCTTGCCTCTGTTGCTGAGTGATTCAGCTCCCCTAGCAATTGTTGGGGGTGTCTTCCTCTGTTAAATGGGAAAACTAACATTTACCCTCTCCACCTTATTGGGTTTATTTATGGTCTATGCTCTAAATAGAAATGTTTTCCCAAAAGACACAATGGTCTATAAAGATGCAAATTCTGCTTCTAACAGCTACCAGATAAAGAGTGGCAATACGCGGCATGCAGGGGTATATCCATTTCTCTGATAAACGTTTCAACATTCCTCATAATGTGGCTACCCACTGAGGAGGTAGTATGCAGACTATCACTAGGTAGCAGTTGGAATCACTGACATAGCTCCATATCCCCCATATTCTGAAGACATGCTCAGATCTAGAGGAGAATTCTCAGAGAGACTTTAAGCGGACCATTCTAAAACCCTATCTTTACCTCAACCTGCATCTTATTGAGCTTCCAGCCCCTTCTTTGAGAACCTCTGTCTAGTAAAATAATTCCATGAGTTGCTTCAATTCATCCTAGTCCTTTCCATCATCAAAACACCAGCATTTGAAAACTCTGACATTAAAATAACTATTTGGGGCTTCCCTGGTGGCGCAGTGGTTGAGGGTCCGCCTGCCGATGCAGGGGACGCGGGTTCGTGCCCCGGTCCGGGAGGATCCCACATGCCGCGGGGCGGCTGGGCCCGTGGGCCATGGCCGCTGAGCCTGCCTGTCCGGAGCCTGTGCTCCGCAGCGGGAGAGGCCGCAGCAGTGAGAGGCCCGCGTAAAGCAAAACAAACAAAAAACTAGATTCTCTATTCGCTTGCCTCAATACACAATCTATTATTACTCTTCTACTTGGATGTGCAATACGGCTAAATGCCTTCTGGCAATGAACCAATAGATACAGCTCCAATCCAAGATGGTGTCTGTGGGTTTCTGAAAGCAACAGAGTTGAGGTCTGACGTCCACAAGACAGGCCGCTCCCTTCAGTATGTGCTCACCCCCAAAGGCAGATGGGTTTCTTTCCTCAGATGCAATCAAGTTACCTCGCAGTTTACGTGCAACGGGGGGACTTAGATACCAACAAGAGGTACCTAAGTCACTGACTTTCCCCTGGGTTGCTATCACTCATCATTTACTGAACAAATATTTATTGATCGCTGATTAAGTAGGAGGCCCTGTGCCAGGCACTGCAAATATAGTGGCGAGTAAACAGACATCAGCACCTCCACCCCCTACCCCACACCAACCCCCCCCCCCGCCCCAACC